CCCCAATTTACGCCTATGATTCTAAAAGTGAAATATTTATGGAAGCTTACAAATGCAATTTAATAACTAATAATACTTTGCATAAAKAAATTATAACGATCGAAGTAATCGAAATTTTGTAATAAATTGCATACCTGATTTTAATTGTAATTAAAACACACATAACACATTCACATTAATATCAAATTGAGGCCATTTATATTTAATCGCACGCCAAACTATGTATATGGTAGTAGGAACATATCTTGTACTATTGTTGTTGATAAATAATTTCCTGGCAGATATTTTAAAATTTGAGTGTTAATTTTGAAAGTATAAATAGGTAGTTACCTACATATTATTATTTATAATATCTATAATGTAGATTAATTGCCTACGATAATATTATATTCTGAAATACATACTATAGTTTATTATAGAGCGAGTATGATTGTATGAATGAACATTTTTAAACCAAAGAAATCATTCATAATTTTCATGGAAACATATTTACATATTGGTACAGGGCTACATATTTTCAATGATAATTTTTAGGTTCAAATTGTTAAGATTAAGTTAAAAGTTAAAACAGTTAAGTCAACTGCATGAAATAAAAATAGTTGATAATAATTAAGTATAAAGTATTATATTAGTTTATTATATTTAAGTATAAAGTATAGATATATTAATGTATGTATACCTACACAATTGGTAAATAAAATCATCAAAMAAATTTGGCATGATTCCTATACCTACATATGTGATCAAGGAAGTAACTATAATTTAATAATTAGGTCATCATATAATTGAAGTAACATGACTAAAATTAAAACAAGAAGAAAATAAAAATGAACAATTTAAATAATCATAACATTAGCAAGGGCGTCTGCATAATATAACCCGAGKGGAGGAAAGTCAAAATTCCCTGAAAACACAACACATACATTTTTTGTTTTTAAAAATGATAAAACGATTTATAACAATTAAAATAGCGTGGGGCATGCCCCCTGCCATCACCTGTGGCTGTCCCTGAACGGCCTGAACATTAGGTTATTAGGTATATATGGTATATACTTATATAATATATTATATTATTATATTATAAGACCAAAATATTATCAAATTTTATCTTTTTATAAAATTACATCTCGTTTACATTTTAAAAATGAAATAATTCAGACCTATATTTGCTACATCGAAGACGTAACACGTAACATCAAAACATTCAAAACAGAGAGAGTTGCTAAATTTATGAAGTTTATTAACTTGTATATTTATAATTTATATCAATACAGAACCGTTAGTACTTATGTTTGGCAAATAAAAAAAATATGTTATGGATAACTATAAATAAATTATCTTCGAATTCGTCAGTTTAAGTATATAGGTACCTACCTAATCTTAAWATAAATTGTACAGGTACTTATAATATCTTATAATATATAAATCAATAAAACTATAGGTTTTAAATAAATTTAATCACATACATTATTACGTAATTACATACGAAAAACTACGATTCTAAGAGGAGACTATGGGTGATGTGTCAGACTCTATTTATAAGGATTTTTAATATTTTTATAACAGATTAACTAATATATTATTAAATATATCTATACTTAAAGACTAAAGTAATTTATTTTTAGTAATACAGCCAGGGGCGTACCGTGTAACCAGGGGAAAGGTTAAGGGTTTTCTCCATTGTCCCGTAAATCCATTTATGGGGAATATATTATTCCTAGATTTATATCTATAGTATTTGATATACACGGAAGTACAAAGTAGCCTGCAGAGAGCCAGAGGACACAATTTATTATTATATTGTTTCGATTATATAATACAGTTATTAACTATAGTTACCTCTTTGATTMTTCAAGTGTATTCGAAGATTATTTTGTTTAACCACAAAAAATTATTCAGTTGCAATTCCTATAGTTATTCTATCATACACTCATTACCGTGCAATATAGCTTACCTATTGGTAATTTGTCTTACGAATATTGTGAATTGATGTAAAAAGAATAATTGACGTTTTGACCGAATTGTTTGAATTGGCACTTCTGCTAGCTCCACCGACGACTAACCGAGTTTCATTAACCTTATGCTGGTAAAGAGCCTTTTTTGTTCATTCGATAATTAATACACCTAATGTGTATAAWTTATTTAAAACGTCGTACACTTTGTACCGGATTAAATAAAATATTGCCAAAACCCTAGGTGTGTTACAGAATAAATACTTCAGTAAACCTTGAACGATTTATCATTGGAGATTGAAAAATATCTAAATATTGATATTTGATAATTTTAGCTATGTTTAATTATGACTGTACCTAGTGTACCTTCAATATATCATGGTAAAAATACTTGCGACATGCCAACAAAGTTTTATTGTTATCTGCAGTAATACATTGCTGTTCATACATTTAAATTATATTAACATACGTGGTAATACGATCTTTAWAAAACCAGCTAGACATCAGATATATTTACCATGTTATACATTTTTAATTTAAATATTATTTATTTATAGAGTTAATAATATATTTTGTTACAAAGACAATATAGATAACAATTTAACGTTGACAAAGTATATAAAATATCATAATAATATGCTTTAAACAGTGCTAAATTGTATAAATTAATTTAATGTAATCATGTAAATACTAAAATACTAACAATGTAATCAAAAATTCGTGTACTAATGGCCTAGTTGTCGATGTATATTTCAGATCAATA